CCGAAAATGTGATTTTGAGAGGGAACCCTTGAAAATCTGTACACAATCTATAAATAGAACGAGGGATATCTGTTGTCCATCTCTAACGTGTTAATCATGTTCTGTAAGGAAGCTAACGTGACTTTCCGGGGCCATAAAACCCGAGGAGATTCACTTCCCTTCTACCAAGGCATGCAGTCGAGACGCATGCACGCGCTTGAGTTATGTGCACGCATGCGTGTTTGTACACGGATACTTGTGAGCCCCTCCCAGAGGTTTTAGGGAAGAAGGGAAAAGGAGCATTAACTTTCAGGGAACAGGGGATATTGCCGAATTGTTTTCTGAGAACAAAGGAACTCTGATTTTCCATCTTTGTGATTTTTTTCACAATTTTCTGAGACTGTTTACAATAAACTTCAAAGTATTTTAGGGTCATTTCAACAGTGTGCTGTAGGGACCATTAGTGTTCACAATTATAGGTCCTTTTTCACTCCAGAGTCACGCGACAATTATGGGGAAAAGTAATAAGAATTTGGGGGTTTAAAAGGAACTGGAAAATAATTTTCGTGATCGTGGGAACACAAGGTAAAAACATTTTAGGAAACAAGTTATTTTATTAATGGGGAACAAGGGAGAAAATGCGAAAACATTAAGGGATCAAGGGAACATGTAACCCCATGGGAGGGGCTCACTTGTATGTGCGTGCACGAGTTACGCACACGTATAAGCGAATGTATACACGTGCGCGTGTGAACGAACACACGTTTAGTTAGTTTTTGTTAGTTTGTTCTTGCCTCATCTATTTCTTTTCAGTAACATCGTACTTCAATTCACAGGTGCCTTTCTATTTATAGAAACATTTATAAATATGATTGTGCTAATTTGGGATATTGTGCAATGTTTGTGTTAATGCAGAAAGTAAAAACGCACGACGGTTGACATTTTTCGCGTACTTCTCAATAGCGCGCCGAGGCAATGTTATGCCCCTTGCACTTTGTCTTTGACTTCAATATGGCGGCGGGACTTTCCGATCTGGCTTATTTCAAAACATAGGCAAGTTAGTAGCAATAATGGCCGGGCACCAGCGCGGCGAATTATGTACGGAAGATAGTTGGCGCCGCCCTGGCGGATCTTTGTATCGTAGGCTGTGATTGGTTGATTTATGTACGGAAGCATTTATGTCCCTTCTCGCCTTGGTTGATTTAATCGTGGTGTGCAGTGAGTCATAATTATATGACCCAAATATGAATCGTGTATATAGTTCTTTTTTGTCATGTAGCTTGGACCACAGCCACCGTACGCGGAGGTCTCTCATTACACTTGGTTACTGCCTTCAATTGGCAGAAGATATTAGAGTAAGAAAATGAAGAATGTAAAGGCTGAAGATAAACGATTCCCTATGTTGACGGCTTCTTGTAAAAAAATTTATTAAAGCCGCCGTACTACAGTCAGCAACACACACGCACGATCGTACCTACGTATTATATATTATATTATATATATATATATATATATATGTATTATATATGTAGAGAGAGATATGTAGAGATGTTAGAATTTTTAGAGATGCATATTAGCCATAATTATTATACTGGAGGAGGACATGGTGAACACACAACACACACACACACACACACACACACACACACACACACACACACACACCCCGCATACACTCGTTCTTGGTGTGTGTGTGTGTGTCGGTGTGTGTGTGGTGTGTGTGTGTGGGGGGGTGTTGTGTGTGTGTGCTGTCGTGCAGTGTGTGAGTGTCTATGTTCGTGCAGTGGTATGTGGTGTCTGTGGCGTATGTTGGTGCATGTGGGTCGTTGCGTGAGTGCCGTCGTGCAGTGTGCGGTTGGGGCGGTGCGGGGTGCTGGTGGTGGCGTGTGCGTGTGCGTGTTGCGTGTGCGTGTGCGGTGTGGTGTGCGTGATGGTGTGTACGTGTGGTGTTGTGTCAATATAGACCAAAATATAAACGTTTATAGTTCAGATTTTTTGTCTATGTAGACTTTACCACAGCCACCGTACGAAGGATACGGACGTCGGCGCCGTACCCGAGGTCGTTCCGAAGTGGTTCGCCTAAAAATTAAAAATAATACATAGGGGGGGGGGGCCTACTAAACAGGTAGGTAAAGGGAAAAAAGGAAAAA